GTGAGAGTTGGACTCCGCCAATGCTGCCCTTTGTCACCGATTCTGTTCATAACCTTTATGGACAGGATTTCTAGGCGCAGCCAAGGTGTGGAGGGCATCTGTTTTGGTGGCCTGAGGATCAGGTCTCTGCTTTTGCAGATGATGTGGTCCTGTTGGCTTCATCAGAACGTGATCTTCAGCTTTCGCTGGAGCGGTTCGCAGCCGAGTGTGAAGCAGCTAGGATGAGAATCAGCTCCTCTAAATCTGAGACCTTGGTCTTGATTCCGAAAAAGGTATATTACCTTCTCCAGGTCAGGGATGAGGTCCTGTCCCAAGTGGAGGAGTTTAAGTATCTCGGGGTCTTGTTCATGAGTGAGGGAAAATTGGAGCACGAGATCGATAGGCGGATAGGTGCTGCATCTGCAGTGATGCGGGCGTTGTAACGGTCTGTCGTGGTGAAGAGAGAGCGGAGTCAGAAGGCCAAGCTCTCGATTTACCGGTCAGTCTACGTTCCTACCCTCACCTATGGTCATGAGCTTTGGGTAGTGACCGAAAGAACAAGATCGCGGATACAAGCAGCTGAAATGTATACAGTACAAGCCTCCGCAAGTTTGGACTGAAAGCAATTATTGGACCATCCAGTTGTTGGTCTTGCTGCACTTCCCTGGATCCTTCATTCATCATACACTTGAGTACTTAGCACCAGAACACCACTGGTGTGAGAGCTTCTCCGCTCAGTAATATCAGAGAAGGAGAAACAGCCGGCTGCTACCACTTCAACTTTAGGACAAACTACCAGCGCCCCAAAATGAAAAGCACCATTTGAAGTCACGGACAACAAAAAACGATTGGACCTAGAAAATGGTGACTGGTGCTTAACACTGTTTTGTTTCCTCTGGCATTGCGGGCTTCTGGTTCCTGCAGACGTGTCAGGGAAAATACCCCAGGGGAGAGTTGAGTGGTTTGTGATCGTGATTGCGTTCAAACCCTAGCTCTCTCTGTAGATTCACTTTAACAGCTTTAGAAGTTTTATATCTAATGAAACCCAGCAGATTGCATCGAGTCACTGACTTGTGTCAGAGACTTTACAGCAATCCCTCATGCTAGCCATCTAGTGACAGTGGAGAGGAAAACTCCCCTTTACAGGAAGAAACTTCCAGCAGAACCTAAGAATGAGCAGCCATCTGCCATGGCCAAGAGGGGATTTAAGAAAAAAAGAATAAATGAACTAACAAATGAATGAATGAATGAATGAATGAATGAATGAATGTTTATTCCAATTGTACATACCCCTTTTAAACCTTTGTACAGTTACAGATCACTAAATAAATTTAGCTCAAAATTGAAAAAGGCTGACCCAAGGCTTATTTGAGCCTATCCCATATTTGCTTTGTGCTCAACTGTGCAGTTGTAATGAGAATAGTAAACAAAGTAGTAGAATATAAAACTAAGCATCTGAGGTGTGTTCTTGCTTTGGCGTGGTTCTAATTCCATGCTGTCGTTCTTTTTAAAACACAGAAACAGTTTTGTTTACCTGTTTTGTCGCTACGTTTCGCCGGCGGCTGCAGGCTGGTGCCAGGGTTGATGGTTCATCCCTTGGGTCCATGTGGCAGGGGTGAGGAGTGAGCACCACCTCACCCCTGCCACATGGACCTCAAGGGATAAACCCTCAATCCTGCTCAATGGTCAACTTTCCTCACGGGGTCACCCATAAAGACAGTGGGAGGGTTAAGAGACCTGTGTTATTTAGAGTTTATAGTTGTATTGATACCAAAATCCTAATAATCACATTTTTCTGGCATTTAATGCATCTATCATACCTTCTTTTTTCATCCTTCAACCAGTGGTGGGTGGTGAAATAAATTACTGGAGGGGAAAGTGTGAATTTATCTTCTTCTTTGGAAAAATATGACAATTTCAAATAATAATTTATTTCCCTTCTCCAAATGAGCAGTTTACAGGTGGCCACTGATCAAATTTACAGATAAACTAGATGATAATACAACTCAAATAAATACACAAGCATGGTGTACACCTTTAAGAACAACTGCAAAATGAATGCATTACTGCAAAAACAGGTGTTACGAGAGAGAGAGAGAGAGAGAGAGAGAGAGAGAGAGAGAGCAAATTAGAGAAAAAGAGAGTGAATTAGAGAAAGAGAAATAAAAAGTAAGAGAACAAGAGAAAAAGAAAGAGAGCAGGGAGAGAATAGAGAAAATTTGAGAAAGAGAAAGAAAGGGAATAAGAGAAAGAGAGAGAAAGAAAAAGAGGGTGGTTTAGAGAAAGAGAAAGATAAGGCGAGAGAACAAGAGAAAGAGAAAAAAGAGAGTGAGAAGGAGAGAGAATAAGATAGAGAGAGAAAGAGAAAAATAGAGAATAAGAGTTAGAGAACAAGAGAGAGATAAAGAAGAGAGAGAGAGAGAGAGAGAGAGAGAGAGAGAGAGAGAGAGAGAGAGAGAGAGAGAGAGAGAGAGAGAGAGAGAGAGAGAGAGAGAGAGAGACTGTGTCCAAACTCAGGAGTTGCATGCTCATGAGTACCTGTTCTCATAGAACTCAGGAGAATGTGTTTTTCTGGGACTGGTTAGACCAGATGTTAACAGGTGTGAATTTGCACGTTCTAGCCTTAAATAACAGTCCCACCCCTACTTTGACAGATGTCCTCCTGTCACCTAGCCGCTACCGCACTAAGAAGAAGCAGCAGAAATGGAGCTCGCACATGTTTGAAACCTTTTCCTTGTTTTGTTACTGTTTGAAGAGCTGCAGCAGATGTAAGGCCAGCGCAGGAATATTAGTATGTCAGGTTGAGACACAATGATATGCTGGAACAGTATTATTTGCCTTTTTGTACGTCTAAAAGCTCTTACCAATTTCACGTCAACTTAAGCTAGCTTCACGACATGAGTAATTTGGGGTACTGAGAAACATGAAAACGCTACTGGGTTTCATATCCGTCTGTGTGATATCCCGCAGTGCATCTCTGGATTTATAGAGGTGAGGAGACTATACACCATACCTGTTCTCAAAATCGGGGAAAAGAACAGATTTCAAGACCACATTCTGAGCAGTCTTTGAATTTGGACAGTCTTCATCGCGGCATTGTGCACGCAACATCTGAAGTTGGACACAGCCGGAGAGAAGACCCAGCACCTTTCTATCCTAGCTAGCTGTTTCATCCAGCAGGCGTGCTACCACCTAGCACCAGATAAATTCTCCACTTCTCCCGATCAAATGAGACTGGTTATTTTGCTGTAAGTTAGGGGCAACTTTTTCAGCACCCCAGGACTGATATTAGTGAGTCTGATGGAAATTCACTGTTTAATGCCAGCTGGTGAAGAAGATGATGCGTAAATAAATTAAGACAGGCACACTGTCACGGCTGCCAGCCTGAAGAGGGGAAAAAGCAGCCAGGATCACCCAGCTCTGGTGATTGACTGGACACCGCCCCTCCTCCTCCTCTCTTCCAGGCTGCTGAGGAGCACAGCTGAGCTGAATCCTCCTGATGAGCCACACCTAGGATAAAAAGGCTGAGCCTTCAGCAGTCTGGGAGGCAGCAGTGCAGGGGTTTTGCTGTTCTCCAGGCCTCATTTAGTTTTCAACCCCTTTGAGTTGAAGAGTTTTAACTTTGGTAGTTTTAACTCTGAGTGATCCACATGGATCTTTTGTGCATGTCACCTAGTGTTGACTGTGTTCGTTGGTTTTTAAGGTTAACTTCGTTTGTTGCAATTTTATTGACTTCGTTTTTAAAACACCTTCTGTTCCGGTAAAACTTTTAATATAAGTTTTAACCAGGTGTTTTATGTCAATGAATTGTTTTAGAACTTTTATCAACTTTGTGGATTTAGAAACACCTTCTGTTTTGGTGAAACATTTAATAAGTTTTAACCAGGTGTTTTTAATGTTGGTAACTGCTCTTTTAATGTTAACCTTTTTGAGAGTATATTTGTTTAGCATTATCTTAATAATGCTCGCCATCTGTTTGCTTGTGTTTTTAATACCTTTTTGTACAAATAAACCCATTTTAAACTCCTCCGCCAGTTTTTATGTTATCCCCATCCTTCACATTTTACATCTCATGTCGGGGACGTAACACACACATAATTAAGCAAAACTGACAGATGTATAATAAATATATGAATAAGTTGTAATTTTAATATTCTTTTCTCTCATCAGTCTCGTCAGGGAGGCTAGCACCCAAAGGACGTCTATGGGCAAGCCACCACGGCCTTCATCTCCTCATTCCTGCTTCTTGCTGTTGAGGTAGCTCTGGTAGTAAAAATTACTAAAGAGGATGATGAGGCTGATGCAGTAACCAAACACCACCACGTTCATCGAGTCAGGGTAGTCGCACTCCGTGAACAGGTTGTAGCCCGTGTGCAGGAGGAAGAGGAGGAACTGCACCTGTAGCAGCAATTAAGAGTTTCCGTCAGAATAAACTAATAGTTCATGTACATCAAACCCTTGTGGAGCCACTTGCTCACCAGCTGCAGAGAGGTCAGGTATCGCTTCCACCACAGGTACTTCTGCATGTGAGGGCCGATTGCTGCCAGGCCGTAGTAGGAGTACATGATGATGTGAACGAATGAGTTCACCAGGCCGACGAAGAATGCTGCAGGATGTAAATGATAGCATCTTCTAGTTTAGGTCATTTGGTAAATTTAAAGCCATTAAACCGCAAAATTGCTCCCTAGCGCGGCCACAGCTGCAGCTCATTGCTCCCCACGGGGATGGGTCAAATGCGGAGATGAATTTCACCAGTGTGTGATGATGACTTTTACTCTCTTAAAGCACGAAATTATAAAGTAAAAATGCAAGTTATAACTTAAAAACCATTCCACCTTGATATATAAAAGGATATAACGTTATAAACATCAGAAAGTACAAGACTCTCTTTTGGAAGCATGCATCGAAGACATGAAATGTTTATAATCCATCCATCCATCATCTATACCCACTTATCCTTGCAGAGTTGTGGGGGACTGGTTCTCATCTCCAGCAGCCTTCAGGCAAACAGGCAGGTCGTCAGTCCATGCCAGCATGAAATGTTTTATTAAGTGTATCTAGCGCAAAACTTTGCATGATCCCAGGTAACTTACACTGTCCTCCTATTACATACTTGACTCCCGCCCAGCACTGCAGGATCATGGTGCTGTGATGGTAAACATGAAGGAAAGTCAGCTGGCTGTTCTTTTTCCTCAAGATGAAGAAGAGCTGTTTGAGAGAGACAAGGGTTCATCAATAGTCCCATCTTTGATCATTGCCATCGGCTTGGTGAGATAAACGCACCGTGTCGCTGAGCTCGATGATCTTAGAGAAGAAAAACCACCAGCAGACCCTGGCCATCTGCAGAGAGGAAACAATACAGAGGTTCAGAAATAAATGGTGGGTGTTATGTTCTTCTCCAAATGGAGGTCATTTGACACTTATGTATGTATCGTACAGATGTGAGAAAATGGGGATCATCCTCTGGGAGACTCTTACCCTCATCGCCAGCGGACTGGTGCTGTAATCTACAGGCTGGCAGAGGAGGCTGTAGTTTGAGAGCCAGGACGTGACCAGAAACTGAAAATATTTAAGAAATGATGTGAGGTTATGAGTACTCAAGTCTTAAACCAAAGTTTTAAAAATAACAAAAGAAACAAGTGACTCTCTAAAGTGGGGCCTATATAGAGAAAAGTAGCATCTGAAATATTTATTCAAAGCAAATAAAAGCTTTAATTTTCTTGTACAGAAACACATTAAATACAACTTGTTTTAAAGAGCTAGCTGTTTAGCTACTATGTTTAAGGGTTTGTCTTATTGTCCGAAGGAACGTCAGGTGCATCTCCGTTTAGTTTGGTTTGATTCACACCGGACGCAGCATGGAACGTTTCATGCCTTTCCACACCACAAAAGATATCAAGGGTTTGCCATATTATGGCACGTCCTTGGGTTCTATTTTGACGAGACAAGCATCTGTGCAACTTCACGTTCCACAGACTGATCTGCTAATTTTCTAAATAAAAGACTGTCATGACTTGGTGATCTCGATCTCGGGAATGCTACGCTGACCGTGTGGGGGATCGACACACCTCGCATAATAGCTGTCAGCGAAAATGAGGGACTCACAATCTTCAGTTGCTGATGCATGACTTTGACATCACCAGCAGCAGGTTTTTCTACAGATCGTGAGTTGGGATAATTCAGAAACATTTTTCACCATTTGTACAGTATGTGGAAAAACTTGTCTAGATCCTGATGTCAAAAGGCAGCTTTTGTCCGAAAGAGATGCAGATAATTGCCAAAGAATCTTGACGTACTTTGAAATTTAGATCTGAAAAAGGTCATTTTATTTTTCTATGTAGCAAACAGTTGTTTTGATGAAATTACGAACACGTTTGAAGGGATCTGTGTTTGCAGGTTTAACAAAAGAACAGGCATGTATGTAAAAACTTTGTGTTGTCATAACTGATAAAATCAAGAAAAGGAACAGGGAGAAAGCAATGGTTGTTGAAATCTTTTTTTTTTGTCTTTTAAATCTGTTGTGCTTAAAACTGATTTGTTTGTATTTATGTAAAATACACATAACACACACCTCGTAGAACATGTATGCAGACAGAAGAACCATGGTGAAATTGTAAAGAATAAGAACCACTTTGAGGTCCAAAGGTTGTCTGTGTTTCATGAGACGAGGACCGGCCCAGGTCACAAACAGGTAAAGCAGCAAGATGAGCGACACGGAGACAGGAGAGTAGACCAGCAGCCAGGGGTCTGTCCTCTTGTCTGAGGGGTGGGGGGACAGATTTGTCAGCTTTAGTGAGAGATAATCTGCTTTTGTTTCACACAATGCTAACCACTGTTGTTTTTGTTTTACTCCTTTAGAGATTTTTGAGCAAGCTCCTCTGCATGATCACTTTTGTGTAAACATGAAATTAAAAGTTCAAGAATACTACACAGCTTCTTAACTTGCAATGAAAACAAAGTGCTTTTTACTAGATTAGAACAATCTCCTCCTAAACCTGCGAGGAATATACAAAAAAGCTAAATAGACTTAAAAACAGTCAACATACCTCCATTGTCCACTATCCTCTGCTGAGCATACTGGACACTTTGCCATAATGAAGCCATCTAAAGACATATTAATATACACATGTCCATAATAATTATAAAGTTTGACTAAAGCATAGCAACATAATGTGTAACCTTAGGTTAAAAATGTGCTTACCTTCTTTGCTGCAATGAAAGGACAAGAATCGGAGACAGTCAGTCAACCTTCACTGACTCATAAAAACTCATCTGATAAGTTCTGGTAAACTTTTAAAGCACAAATAAATGGAATGAGGAAGTTTGCGACACCGGAAATGTACTAAAAATAGATATCTTACAATTGATAACTGGTATTTCTAGCTTGCTAACATAAGAACACTATTGTGTTTGTTTTTCTTTCTCCACCCAGTTTCATCAATTTCACTGGAGGAAAAAGAAAGTGTCCTCCTATTACATACGTGACTGTGTGAGTGTATTTCAAGATAAAAATGCCAAGGCACACAACACAATAAGATGTAAAAAAGAAAAAAAGATGAATTCAACTAAACAAAAATGAAAAAAGCCAGAGCTAAAAATTAAAATTGTTAGATGGTGCTGTTTTCTACTTTTTTTGTTGCAAAATTGAAACAGAAAACTAACATTAAAAACTTAAAGGTGCATAAAGTAACAATGACACCCTGTGGTCAAATAAGAGTATTGCACTCTATATATAAAAACAAACTAGTCCACTCTTTTTGTAACCAGCACAGTAATTCTCCTGACCTGGCAGTGCTCTGTCTGCTTTAGCTTAGCATAAACAATGGAACTGAATAGCAGGAAGTAGCATTTAGTGTGCAAAAGTGATTAAAATAACCTAATAATGACAATTGTCCCCGATGAGCTCAATAATCATGACTGCATATGAAAAGTAAAAACGAACACAAAGGATTTGCAGTAGCCCACTTAGACTTGGGACTACATTGCGACAAAGCACCGCTGTAAGCCGCCGCTGCATGGTGCATGGATAAAAGACGGCAGTCAAAAAAGCCTCTGGCTT